GGAAGAGGGGAGGAACATAAAATAACGAACCCAGAAGGTTTGTATGAAGCCGGTATGCTGCCGCCCGTCTTCCTCCGAATAGAACGTACGTTTATTATCGATGTGTATCTGGAATAGAAGTTGACCCAGATACATGCAGATCTAACGACCACACATACGTTCTATTCGGCGCGGAAGACGGTAGGTAGGTAGGTTAAACGAGCACGTCAACATAAACTTCACGACGACCATGAATCGTTTGTCAAAGCATAAGACAGGATAGGATGAGAGAAATAAAATAAATTAATAACTAATAATAAGTAATAATAAGAGGGAAAAGAAAGAAAGAAAAAAGGATAGGATGAAAGATTCATCCCCCCAGACGAGAGATTCTATGTGCGTCATAGCGACATGGAGTATCTAGCAGAAGAACCTTTTTTTTTTTTTTTTTTTCCCTCCTAAGGTACCTGTGTTCTCTCTCTCTCTCTCTCTCTCTCTCTCTCTCTCTCTCTTTTCTGGATGTAAGCGACGACCTGTTCTATCTGCTCTTCAACGGCACTCCGCTGCGCACGGACTGTGTAAGTGTGGCTTCGTGTATCTGGCACCACCCCACGTCCAGATTCTTGCTAGCAGAGTAGAGGGCAACGGGAGGAGAAAGAAGAAAGCTAGGAGTCATTGGGATGAGTGGTAGGGGAAAAAAAAAAAAAAAAAAAAAAAAATCACACACGACATCGTCGACACAATCGTGAAGGCGAAGAGAATACTCGCACTTTCTCGACTGGGCTGTGGACGCAATTGCCCGTCGGATGCGTCGAAGAGGAGGTAGAATCCCGGTCAGATACATCCAGAAACTTCCTAGTTTGGCAATCACCGAAAGGCAGCCCAGAGAAGGCAAGTAAAAAAATAATAATAATAATAAATAAATAAATAAATGAAGATAACGAGGACCGAAAACTGATCGACTTAATGCAACTGACTGAACTCGTTGAGCGCACCATCGAACTGATGACTACATTCATTGAACTCACCGAACTGACTTCGAAGTGACCACAGAGCCGAGTGAAGAATATCTCGACGCCGGATTGGATCGACTGGTTCCCTCACGACTGAGCTACCGTCTGCACCCTAATAGAACGCCCGGTCATTACAGCTGTATTCAGAGCAACTTTCCGTCCAGATGAGCGATAATGACCGGGCGTTCTATTAGGGTGAAGACGGTAGTCATTTTCAGCGATGTGTGCTGATTGCAGCTCACAAAGGGATCGAGTGATTGGTTAAGTTATACCTTATAATTGAATTTCGAGATGCTCTCAGTAGTCAGTAGACCTCGACTTGATTAGACTCGGGTTGCTGATAGATTGATGCAGTGGATTGAGCGACTGATTGGATCGGATTAGATTCGATTAGATTGGATTTAGATTGGATGTAGATTGGATTAGACTGGATTTAGATTGGATTTAGATCGGATTTAGAGTGGATTCAGATCGGATTTAGAGTGTATTCAGATCGGATTTAGATTGGATTAAGATTGGGTTAAGATTAGATAAGATTGGATTAAGATTGGATTAGATTGGATCGGATTGGATTAGATTGGATTGGATTAGGTATTTTCATTGATGGCGTGTAAGTCGACGACCTGACAGAGATTGACTGATGATCAATTAGATTGGATTAGATTCCAATCTTAATAAGACCACGTCTATAATACTATAATAAATTAATAATAGATCCACAATTAATAAATAAGATTGGATTCAGCTCGGATTTAGATGCGATTTAGATTGGATTAAGATTGGGTTAAGGTTATATAAGATTGAAATAAGATTGGATTGAAGTGGATTGGATTGGATTGAATTACGATTGGATCGGAGTGGAGATTGTATTGGATTGATTTACAGACTTTCATTGATAAACTTTAGAAGTCGACGGTTTTCAACGGCTCTAGGTAGTCTATCAATGCGAAGCGAGCGATCTATCAAGATGCCGGCATTAAAAAAACATATTGCAATTATTTAATTTAATTTAATTTAATTTATTAGTTATACTTTCAAAATCTTATAATGGTCGGGGGAAAAGGGAAAAAAAAAAAAAAAGAGCTCATCAATCAAATTTTAATAATGTCGACCACAGAATTTGATCGACTTCAGGATTCGTTGATCGATTGGCCGTTGTACAGATGCAGGCTGCTGCTCCCTTTCCCGGAAAAAACTTCAAAAAAAAAAAAAAAAAAAAAAGAAACAGTCAGCACGTCTTTTTTTACCTCAGTGGGATTCCAACCCGTGACCAGTGAAGGAGAGAGAACCAACCACCTCTTCATTCAGATTGCCCTCGAAAAAGTTGAAGGCATTCGTACACGCGACGATAATGATCGATTGCTAGGATACCAGAGTTTTGTTTTCTTTCCTTTTTTTTTTCTTTTTTTTTCTTTTTTTCTTTTTTTTTTGGAGTAGGGCAGTAGGCTATATATTCTTCTCTCAAATCTTTCATCATCTTTCAAATTCTTTCAAATTCTTTCAACTCACCTTCACTACCTACCTACCTTCCACTACTCCTTAACGCATAGGTTGCTGGGAATGATTTGTATTAACGGCAATGATCGAAA